ATGATGTTACCCTCAATATACCAGGATACAGCTTTTTCCACTCAAATTTAAAATTTAGCAACACAAGCAAGTTATCAGTCCATTCCTTTATATTTTTACATGTGCCTGTATGAAATTTTAAAGAATTTTTTTGAAAAAATCATATAGATTCTCGGTCAAAAGTTTTGATTTTCCTTTTTTCAGTCACATTCTTGAAAACATTTTTAGCAGTATCAAGGAAATAATTCTCTAGCTCTCTACTGATTGTCTGTTTGATAGTGTAACTGTTAAGGTATAACTCTTTCTTTATTAGCCAAAAATTGTGTTGGATGATACCCAGTAAAAATCTGGGTTTGCTCTCTGTGAGGGAGCTTTGTCATTGATTTCTGAGGAAGAACAAGTTCTGTGTGTGACTTTGTTCCTGTTAGTATATTTGTGTTACAAATAATATTTAATTATAAGATAGATCCCTAGACCTCTCTTCCCTTATTTGTCTTACTGACTTTAATAAGATGATGCCTGGATGTGCAACAATATTTCTTTTTGGAAGGCTGGAGACCTGCTTGGAGAAATCTCTTCTGAAGCAGTTATGTACAGTAGTGGCGTTCTACATCCATATGTATGTTACATACAAAACCTCTGTCTTCTGAGAGATAAAATGCCCCCCCCCCAAAAGAAAATGTCAGGATTAAGGTTGTCTCTGAAGCTTTTAACTGAGTGCTTTTGCATGTGTGCATGATGATGTTATCTTTAGTTGTATACTCAGCTTTTATTTTTTCTGCAGGACCCCTGCCTCAGTCAGGCATGACTTGGATTTTCTCTGGAGTTGAATTAGGGTTGAGTAATGAAAGACACTGTGTGATGCAAGGCTGATCATTGAAACCAAACTTTTCACAGGTGGCCAATAATTGTGTGTTCTTTGTTTTCTAGGTACTTGCCTTGAGCCCTTGGGGTCTGATTTGCAGAAGTACTAAGCCCTCATAGCTGCAGCTTAACTCAATGGAAGCTGTTATGAACACATGAAATGCTATTTATTGCTAAGGACTCTGAGGGGGGAAAAGAAGGCCCTAGATGTGTCAAATTGGGCTCTGAAAAATTTTGTTTTCCTATCTTAAAGCTCAGCCACACATGCAACTTAACACAGCTTGACAAGTTAACACATCTCAGATGATAACTCTCCAATATCCTTGTAGCGAGTAGGAAATTAATCTATTTATCTTAACCAGTGGTGAATGAGAGTTGTGCTTATATTACCTAGGCTTTGCTAAGGAATAAAGAGCACATAAAGTTACCATGGCTCAGCTAATATGTGGCAACTTGTCAAGCAGCCACAAACATTATCACGTCTGGTTCCTTAATTCCCCTTATGAAATGGTGGTAATACTCTTCATGATGTCAGGGTTTATGAAAATAAATTCACTCGTGTTTCTGAAATGGGTATTGCATAGGTGAATGCCACAGAAAAGGCTGTGAAAAAACGAATAAGTCTGTCTTCAGGGCACAGTTTGAACTGTGTGCAGTAAATAAAGTGTGGAGCAGCACACTGAACAATGAAAAGAAAATGGTATTTGGAATATCTGCTCATTTAAAAAAATCCTCTCCCTATTGTAAATTGAGTGAAGCAGTGGTCCTGTAGAAAAATATCATTATGATTATGTATGTAAAGATTATGTAACTTTCTACGTTATTAAATAACAAATCGAAAAGAAAGACCACCCAAAATTTTATTATAAGGCACCATGCTGAATACTACAGGGTTCACCACCAGTGTTTGAACCTTTATTTCCTCCACACAGACTTCAGCCACTTGAGTTATTTTCAGAAATAACTTGAAAAATTTGGAGGTAGCAGGAGGCACCATTTTGTATGGAAAATTTCAGCCAACTGTTAAATACTTGGCAAACTTAGGAGTAACTGGAAACAAGACTCCTAATGAGAAGCCACAGGAATAGGTGGTACTCCCAACTCTTGACTACACATGTAGAGCTGATAGCCTGCTTCCTCAGCCCAGATGTTGCTAGTTTCGATAAGTCTCAGTATTTTGGATGCTTTAGTGTGCATATGTATGTATGTATGTGTATAACATTCAATACCTATTTATTACTGTCAAGTAAAATAGTTTGTACAATTTTTCTTGCACCATACAGAAAAGGTGTTGGTTTATTTTCTCGGCGTGCTGTTCAATCAATCACTTCTTTTCAAACCACCTATAGATTTTGCCAACTGTGCGTGAAGATTCTGGCTTCTTTTCCTGCCATGCCATCAATTCTTATGGGGAGGATCGTGGAATAATTCAGCTCACTGTGCAAGGTAGGAAGAGGACAACATAAGGAAAAAAACACAGCTATTGTAGTACAGTAAGTGTATGCCGTCCTCAGAAATCTGTTGGGGGAGGGAGGCTCTGATTCCTAATTAAATGTATTCCTCATTGTTAAAGAAATGAGGGGCCGCATTAAGTCATGCTCAGTCTTTCATTTTCCGACATCACAGATTAAATCAAAATAAAGGATAAGCTTGAGTCTTTCTATGTCTGTACAAATTAATAAGGAGAATTTTTCTTCAATAAACCAGCTGACGATCTAGTAGAGATACTTAAAACTATCAGCTTCAGTAGGGACAGTGGATATGATGGAGTTACATTTTGGTGGGAGAAGGAGGGGGTTGCATTACCTTTAAAGAACAAATGTGCTTAAAACCCAAGTCTGAAATAAAGCAAAAGTGATCTGATTTTATCTCCAGAGAAATGTTAAACTTACTGTGGATCTTTAAACAAAATATTTCAAGTTTAATCAGTCCAAATAAATTGTAATCAGTTTGCACAATGCAAACTCTGGGAATCTATGTTGCCTGGGGCTGGGGTTCCCCTCCTGCAGGTTTTCACTCAGGCAGACAGCAGCAAGTCCTGGACTGGCTGAGTTGACAGCATTTGAGATGCAGAGCACAGGCAGGACTCAGCCACTAGCCACTGTCTATTTCTGTGTGATGCTTGTGCTTGTGCTTGTATGCCTTTGAGCATGAGAACAACAAATTTCGAGGACTTGCAAATTTCCTTCTCCCCACTCTTGATTTTGAGTAACAGCAGATTTCAGTGAATGCCTGAGGCAGCCCTGTGGAAAAAATCAGGTAGAGTTAGGGGACAGGTTCTCAGTTACACCACTGCTCATTTAAACTGCTGTGACAATTCAAAGGGGCATTAGAATGGACTTAAATACTATTTATTTACAGCCTTTATTCTAGAGGCAGAAAGAAGCTTTAGTGTATTTTTATAGTGTTATCAAACTACTCTGTTATTAAAAGAAGACTTTTAAACGTATTCAAAAGAGAGAGAAATTTTACTCCCTCCCCCCACCAAATTTAGCACTTTTAAGTTTAATATTCATATTTGTACCATCATCTTTTGTGTAAAAACTGTAGAAGTATCAGCGAAACATGGTGTTCAACGCAAAAATATTTTCTAACGTGAGTAGTCCAGCCTGGAGTGCTTTTAAGGAAATGCAACTCTATCTTGCATGTAAGAAGGTTAAGCAGAAGTCAGTATTCAAGATTGCATCAATGGCTTTTCCTCCCTCTTTGAGTGTTCTTCAGCAGGTGATTAACTGGCTCAGGGTACTAATGAGTGACCAGAGAAAATGCCATGAGAGCTTACCACCAGTAAGCTACACCAGCACCATGCTCATTAATGTTATCTTGTTAAGAGTTCGGGCTTTCTTCTGACTAAATCTGTGTGTGTGTGTCTACTCAGAGCCTCCCGACCCTCCTGAAATAGAAATCCGAGAGGTGAGAGCACGCAGTATTGCCCTCAGGTGGACCATGGGATTTGATGGAAACAGCCCAATCACCGGCTACGATATTGAGTGCAAGAATAAGTCAGGTAAGAAATAATCTTCCTCTGAAGTAATCCCCATAACTAGTCATTCATCATTGAATCTGTATCATAAAAAGATAATTCAGAAATTGAAACTGCCTGATAGAAAATTTTACCATGGTTTATTTTATCTTCCACAGCAAAATTTATCTTCATTTGTTGCCTCTTTTTTATGAGGGAAAGATGTTAAGTTTAGCAATTGCTGCTCTTTGCTTTTAGCAAAGAAACCTACACATAAGGGGAACAAATTTTGTTGTAAAATAAGCTGTGCTAGGTGATAGCCAATATAGGGTTTTGCTACCTGATTCTTGGTCCCTGTTCTTATCTTTTCTCCATTTGCATTTTTTTTCTTTTAATTTTCTATTTTTCCCTATAGAAAAAGAACCTGCCTTTACAAATTATGTTTTCCTGTAGTGCTGTTTTTTAGAAGTTAGGCACACTGGTAAGCGCTGTCACTGAGTCATGATTTGAGAAGGGACCAGAAAGGAAATTGCAGTGGAAGAATGTTTTTGTATTTCAAGTATGATTAAAAAGACACCAAGAAATTACATTGTACTGTTTTATGTTGGAGTTTGTTGTACTATTTGTAAGGGGACGTAGTCCACTAAAAGGGATGCTCTATGTGTGCTTATCAGTGAAACATTCTGTTTAGCAAAGCAACTATAGTAGGTTTATAGTCTTTTCCCTTTAGTTCAGAGATGTAAAAATGTACTTGTTCATAAAAATCTAAAATTTGCCAGTTTTTTTAAAAAAATATTCTACTACCCATCTTTGCTAACTTTCATTTGTCTACATTGTATATTTCTTTTGTGCTTTACTTATTTAGGCAAAAATGTTGTGATGATTGTGTTACTAGACAAACTGTTTTCAGGAGTCTTAAATCCTCAGTCATTATTTTTGCATTGGCTGTGTAAATGAAATTGATAATGTACAGATGAGCATGGTACCTGAAAGATTACAAGTGAAAATTTCCCACTGAGGCTATGGTCAGGAATCACAGCTCTGGAGAGGCAGACTAGGCAAGGATACCTTCAAGGGACATGTATATGTAAAAAGTTTCTGGGCTTTGTTTTCTTTTTGATTCTTTTCCTTGCTTTCCAACCACCCACCTGCTCCAGAATGGCTTTTGAAAGTCATTCTTGCCTGACAGGCTCTTTTCTCACCCTGAAACATCATTTGTATTTCTGAATCATGTAACTCAGCATAACCCCATCTAGGAAGACTGAGCTGCTTTCCTTTGATTGAAGCAGTGGTCGAAAGGGACTTCAGAGTTCTAAACCATCTTTTTTTAGGTTTAGTTCAGTGTTTCCAAGCGACAAGTTTCAATCACTGTGAACTTGCATTGCAAAATTGTCTCTGTAATATGACATGATAAATCAACAGCAAGACAGCAAATGAAGCTCCATCAGATTGGATGAAAACATCAAGACACAACCTAGTGATAAATGTTAAAAAAATCCAAAAAAAAAAAAAAAAAGAGAAAACAGTGGGGGGTGGTGTTGGAGAAAATATTCCTTCATCTGTATATGAAGACAAATACTGGAGGCCATGTCCAAAAAAGAGCAAATTATCTTCATCTCACTACAAACAACAGAAATGTAGATTTTCCGGAATCTAAGGCTGGATGTTTGGAGAAACTAGGATTGGGTTTTTGCACTCTTACGCATGATTTTTGTCACAAATTAAATCATCAATAAGATTAAACACCAAAGACAGTTACTGAAGAACTTGCACAGGGTAGCTGGTAGAAGTTAGAACAAAGAGGGAATTAAGAAAACTTTTCAGTTTCCAGATATCAAAGAGATACAAGAAAAAGGTAAAGCATTCACAACTCGGATGCTAAGCTCAGGGAACATCCTCCCAAGGCCAAAGTAAAGCTATAAACTGCATAGTTGTGTTTAGTGAGAATTTTCCACCTATGTTGCTTACCCTGAGGACTCAGGAATGAGTTTACAGTAGGATGCATCATCTAGAAGGAAAACTGCAAACCTCTTCCATTTCAGAGAATGTGCAGGTGCCCGCATATTTTGCATGGACTTCACTATACAGTGCTGCCCTCATGTACCCTATCTACCCCTGACTTGCCACCAGACAAAAAAAGACACATTAGTTAGCCCCTAGAAGGAGCATGGAGTTGCCTGTCACATGGGTAGGTGACATCTTTAGGGTTCAGTTGCCATGCAGGTTCAATATGAATAACGGGGAGCTCAGCATTTCAGGCTGTTTCAGGACTTGGATATGATGCCTGTCTGTACAGAAATGTGCCTGTGGCACTCGGACCTGGCCCTTCATTGACACCACAGATGTGTAGCCATCAGAATTCTCCATCGGAGGGGTACAAAAAGGTTTCAAGGTAGGAACATGTATGAAGGTCCTTCTTTCTAACTCTCTCCTCATCCTTTTTATGTCATTAGGGAAAGCTGAGGGGCAAACAGAGCATCATTTCTGCTTAAGTCCTGATCTGAAGGGAGAAGACTGTGCTTTCTTGTGCTCACGTCTGAACGGAGCATCCCTCAGGACGCAGATGCCTTCGCAGAGCTTGGGCGGGAGGGGGGCGGTTCCCCCAAACCCGCCAAGGGAGCGGCGGCGGGAGGGGTGCAGTACCGAAGGCGGCCACCGGGTGGCAGCAGCGGCCCGGCCCGGGAGCGGGCAGTGGCTCTTCCTTTTGGGAAGGGGTGGCAAGCTGCTGGGCTTCATAAAACCAGAAGTTTTCCATAGATTATTTTGTCCGCGTGCATTTTATGTAACGCTGAGAAATGCCTGGGTGTCACGTTTTGTGAGTGGAATAAAGAATATGTTAAAAATTCCACTCTTTCTTTTAACTTTCTTTTTTTGGTTTGGTTCTAGTTTTAGTTTTGCTGGCGCATTGCTGCTCGTTTTCTCTGCTTTTTCAGTCTTTCTACGTAAGCAGATTTTGGAGCTCTCTGGAACAACAATAAAAACCAGAAGAGCCAATAGTCAGTCTTAACACCTCACTCAGATACCTACCACGTGGACGCAAGCAAATCTTTTTAGGATTTGCCAGAAGGAAAGAAAATGAACTTTTAAAATTATTATTAACACTTAAGTCTTTCAAAACCGAAAACAGTTTTGGAAATAAATTGATGACTTTCCCTTTGGACTGACTCAGTTTGGAGGGACTGATTTTGTTGGTTTATTTTACACTTCAAAAAGGGGATGCATATATTTATTTTACCCTTCAAAAACAGGATAGACTCCTGAAACCCATGCATTAGTCATAAATAAACACTGGAAACCTACGTTTAGAAGTACAGAAGACTGTGAGTTTTCATCTTGCTTTTTCTCCATGGTGTGTCATTACTTAATCTACTAAGAATCCCAAAAATTTTTCAAATTTGTGTATTTGATTTCAGCAGCTACATGTACTAAAAAGTCCTACCACTCAGAGGTCAGTATTTCAAACAACCAAGTGAAAACTTAAGCAATTTGAGAATATACAGTCTATATTAAAAGAAATTCTCATCATTCTCAAGGGAAATTTAACACATTCTCTGTACCAAGCAGGTTTTTTTTTTTTTAATTCCTTTCTTGTTGGCACGGTACACTGGAACAGACAGTCTCCTTCTGTGCTTATATAACATTTAACACAATGGAGTGTAACTGCTGATTAAAATTCTGTAAAGTTTAAGACATTCTGTGAAGTTGTAGCAAACTGAAAGCAAGTTGTAGAAGTACTGCCTGCAGGTAACTCCTTTAGAGCTTCTGAAAGTATCTGACAGAGGAACTGTGACAAACTCAGTTACTAAAGAAAAATATATTCAATTGAATTTGGTTAGCACTTAAATGTCTGATTCCTAAACATTTTCTGGGTAAACAAAGCCACATGGACAAGCAAACAGGCCCTGTAACCAGCCAAGCTGCAGATGTCATTGTGACAACTTGTGTGCTGTTTAGCAAGCTCATATGAAAGAATTTACACAGTATGTGCAGATATTTTGTGTCTGAGTGAGCTTTCTATTTTTAAACTAGTCTTTCCTATCTGCTAAACTTTCTGCAATCCTGCCTACAGTGACCCATACCGTAAAACACTGCTGTAGAGCCTCCAGTGACATTCCCCACAGGATGCTGCAGAGGTTAAAGGAGGAACATCACCTGCACTAAGAAAGAAATGAAGGATGGCAACTCATAAAAGACATCAAGATGCTTTACACGGATAAATTCTATTACTTTCTTTGCAGCAACTGAATGCTTGGATGAAAAGGAGGGGTTACAGTGTTTAGCCAATTTCCATCCTTTTTTCCTATTATATGTCTGGAGAATTTATTAAAAAGGTAGCAGGCAGATGAATTGTAAGCATGAATAAAAACAATATACTCCTGCTTTTACAGATCTATGCAAACAGCTAAGAGGATTCTACATGCCCCTTGTATTAAACTATTACTGCATCCTAACATGAGTCAGGGAAATAACAGCAGTCCTGGAGGGTGCTGAGTCCCATGCCTAAGTACTCCAAGCTCATACTCACTCTTCGCCTATGGTCTGAGCTCCGGGAGTTTGGGATCAAACTTTCTGCCTAATCTCTGCTAATCTAAGAGCACTCCATTCTTGTTTATTAACTCCCTTTCCCCCCTTTTTGGAGCACAAGCAACCTTCTCGCTGAGTGGGAATCCCTTCAGGGCAGCAGCTCCCATATTTTTCACAGTTGTCCCACTGTAGCAATGGTAAAGAACAAGTATGTACACACACGTGCAAAACTGGGGAATCTTTGCTGCTCTCACCACCCCCTCAGAAAAAGGCAAAGGAGCAGCTATTTCCTCGAATTTGCTGATGACCCTGGAGCCGAGTTCCTATTGTTCACTACACCACACTTGGAGCAGTCGGGAGTGCTGTTAAGGTGATCACTCAATTTGCTTATAGCAGCAGGCATTTTCTGGGTTAATTCAGCAATGGCAGTATCCTGCTCTGTGAGATTAACTGCATGCTTCCGTTAGCGGTGTTAACATCATCTTTTATTTGTCTGTTTTATTTTAACCTCTTATTAAATAGACTCCTGGGATTCTGTTCAGAGAACCAAAGATGTTTCCCCTCAGCTAAATCAAGCCACTATCATTGACCTCCACCCTTCCTCAACTTACAACATTCGCATGTATGCCAAGAATCGTATTGGCAAGAGTGAGGCCAGCAATGAACTCACCATCACTACCGATGAAGCAGGTACGCTCTGGTTTGGTAACATCTAAATTGTGCTGGGAATTATTGCTCTTTGATGTGAGGAATCTTTACATGAAATGTTGCTTATGTTGCTGCAGCTGCATGGAAAGAAATACTAAATTGTTCCCATAAAACATTGTGACTTTTGCAACTTCATTGTGCTGGTCTGTAATTAAAGCCATTCAGTGGCATCTAGTGGTCAAAGAAGACATTGTGCGCCAAATTTTCAGCCAGGGATGCTGGAAATGGCACACCTATATCTATAGTTAGGCAACTCAATCAGCAACATCCTATTTTTAGTGGTGAGTCCTCCCCTGTGGGTCTTGTGGCTTTCCTTAGATGCTCAGGTATTAGTATAGGTAACTAATTTTACCTACCCCCATTTGAGAACATGGACCTACATGAATCAAATCTTCCTTTGACTATTCCATCCCCTAAGCCACTCATCATTTAGTTTTCTGATCACTGTATAAGTCAGTTGGCTGTCATTAGTTAATGTCATCCCCCTGCTCTTTGTTGCCATATGTTCCTCTACATTGTCACAGGTTTCACTACCAGGAGGACTGTGCAGGCAATTTCACTTCGATGGATGTAGCCACTCTTTTTTGTACTTGAATTGCTGCCTTCCTATTTCATCTTATTTTTATTCTCAGGGCTAGCAGAAGTGGCAGATGCGTAAGGACAGCACAGCCTTATGCATGCTACCATGTCCCAAGTCCTACATGTTTCATGTGACAGCGAAAAAGACCTATGGGTGAAAAGCAGAGGGCTACAGCTCTCCATTTCACTGATGAGGAATGGAAATGCTGAATGGCCATAAATAATTCTGCCAGGCATATGTTGCAGTTATATGCGATGTACAAAGATGTTGAGAGTAATCCAAGCAGCTTCAATATCCTTAGCCCACTGACACTGGATGGAGTAACTCTGAAAAGTCTTGATCAGAAAGAAGCTTGCTCATTTGTATTTTAAAACATATTTTTATGTTGCTAATTTTGTTTTTCCTGTCATCTTATGCTAAGTCAGCAATGCTTCTTTCTTTGGGGATTTTGAGAGGAAAAATGTAGTGCAAGTATCTGTGTGACAGTGTCCTAGCAGTGAAAACCCTACTTCTTTTTCAACATTCATGTTGGTCTAGGCTTCGAACGCTCCGTGACCAATTTTCAGTTCAGCTCATATGAATACAACTATGTAATTCTCACTCATTTTCTCAGTGGGTGAATTTACTACAGTGAAAATATACACCTTGTCAGGAGAACATGTTTTTGGCTCTGAGGGACTTTCTGAATAAGAACAGGACAGAAGGGCTCACACTGCAAAGCAGAATAAGCAGGGGACAACGTGAGCTGCATTGCTTTTTTCGCCAGGTGTCTTTTTTTCATCCCAGTGGAAGGAAACAGCTTTATTAGTGGTGAATAGCTTATTTGCAAAGTATTTATCATTTGATCAGGGTTTTTCTCTTCCTTTGTTCAATGAAAATGTGAAATCACTAGAGAAAACAGACTTTCCATTCTTCTGGCCAGCATCATCTCTATCCCCAAAATACCCATCCTTCCTTGTGCATATACATCAAAGTATAGGGGTGGGTCTTGGATATGCTGTTTCATTCTCTCTTATTCACTCATGCTTGGAATATTTCTTACTTGCGGAGTTTTTCCTGACTGATAATTAAGTTGTCAGGATCAGCAGCTGGCCTTGAAATAAAAAAAACAGCTTCCCTATGAACAGGGTGGAATCTTAACATCACATTTTATTCAGCTCTTTGTAACCAAGTTTCAGAATAATTCATCCTTTTGTCGCTGTCGTTTAAGGAGCTGTCTGTTTGGAGAAAAAGACCAGCAGTGTGGATCTGTACTCAAAAGTCACTGATCCACCTAGAGAACAATTGGAACAGAGAGTTAAGGCTTAGGCAGAGTGTGTGATATTTGTCTCCTGGGTTTTGATTTCAGGCAGTGTGCAAAGTACAGGAGCATCATGTTTTGACCACTGTTTACTTCTGTTCTCTGCTTTTATAATAGGAAATGGCAAACAGCATGGGTGCAAGGAATGAGAGAGAAGTTAATGAGAAGGGAGCAAAATAAAGGTCCAAGAAAGACAATATAAAAACTGAACAACTCAAACCATGCTATTGGCAAGGGGGCTCAGGTTGTGTATCACATAACAGTGACCTGAGTCACCCAGCACTAGCTATTAGAAGCAAAACTGTAAAGGATCTCTGTGGCAAAAGGATAATAAAGCATGTCATCATTTAAAGCTTACAGACGACATCTTTCCCTCCATTCAACTGCAGTTAGCTCCTGTGTTGGAAAATAGACTGCAAGTACACACTTGCACTAATGCTCGTCAGAAAAACAAAAGCATTATGGCTCTTGTTTAATATGAGATCAATAGGGGAAGCTGGGATATCTAGGGTTTCTTTATGTCTGTCACAAGCTTGGTATGGCATTATGTATGTAAAAAAACTGACTTCTTATTTAATATTTCACCATGGTATGCTGGGAACAGTTAGCTACTCCGGTCTGCAAAAACTTCCGGGGTCTTTGAAGAAAAAGTCAAGATTTTAAGGAGCAGATTTTAAAACCCGTTTTTAGGTTCAAATGGGTTTTATTTTTCTTGCACAAATTCCACTCCATTATAATGTATCCAGAGAAGTGGCATTCATATTTGGCAGGGGGGGCGGGCGGGGGGGGGGGGTGTGCAGAATCAAGGGAAGGATTCAAAAAATTCATAGAAATCTCAGTTTTGCCTGTGGATTTTTTCCTCTTCTTCTTCCTGTACCTTAATGCAAGCAGAATGGAAATAAAGTTCTTTCAACCTTTGTAAATTTCCAATATGAAGGGCAGTCAAGAACAGCATAGAATACGGCGTCTTTAATAACTTAAACATATTATGGGCTGTGTTCTGGGTCTCTTTGCTTTCATCAGTTAAAGCAAAATGTTCTGGTTCCTTTCACCACGGCTGTCATTTACTGCTGCTCCACCTCTAACAGCCCCATCTCACCCTTTTTATTGCTTTGCTTCCTTTGTCATGCTATTAAACTTAATTTAATACCTTTTACTGAGGCCATATTCTGCATCGAGGGAACCCTCTACAGCAGCTCAAGATTACTCCATTCCTTTCTTCAGATCTTTCTTTTACAATGATTTACCTCGCTGAGCAAGCAATTTACTACACACCTTTCCATTCAATCCCTGTCAATTCTTGATCTGCTTTGTATCTGCCCAGCTGACATGTGGGTTTCCCTAAACTCAGGGACTTCTCTTTTCATTCGTCTTTAAAGCATCATGCACACCCTTGGCAGCATATCAATAGCAAATGAAACTCCTCCTGACTCAGGTAGGAGCTGCAGCGTTCTTTTTCCATCTGGTAGTTATTTTTTGTCTGATTTCCAGGCTGGGAAACTTCCACTGGGGAGGGTGGGAGGGTAAATTGTGCAGGTTTTTTGTGTATAAAATATTTGATATCTGACTCAATGTGTGCAGTTTCTAGTGAACAAAGGGGAAGTTTGTGACATGATGAAGGCTGGCTGAGGAGCTCCTGTCTCCCTGCTTTCAAATGGGTTCTACTGCCTTTCTGTCACCTCCAGGGTTCTGACTGCTGAAAATATGTCTTGCCTATTTACAAAACAGAAACAGCATTTCAACTGTATCACTAAACAAGAAAAGTCACTATTATTCGCTCTTATTTTATTTGCCAGGTCGCTATGTTTTGGCTAGTGTTGCATTTCACTGTTGGCCAGAGATGACACCTGAATAAGGAATACTAGGCTCTGATTTCGTTTGATGAAGTGGTCATCTCCAGTTTTCCATATGACATTGACTCAGTCCAAACCTTTGTGATACTAATGTGTTAAGTTGGTGACATACCATGTGAAGTGCTGAATTCTGTGTGCTGTGAGGGCCAGTTTTGATCCATCCCTATTCTCTCTTTGCAGCTCCTGATGGTCCACCTCAGGATGTCCAACTTGAGCCTATATCTTCACAAAGCATTAGGGTGACCTGGAAGGTAAATACACACAGCCAAGAATATAGACTTTGACAGTATTTTGGTGCATTCAAAGAGGTTCCATTGATGGGAGTATTATAACAACTGTGGATCAGTTATTTTATTTGGGAGAGAACTTGCAGATACCTTTGCTGACAAATCTTATATTGGCTATTAAGGCCGTTGCATTATGCAAAGAAACTTCCATTGGAGAGTAATAGTGGCAGCTGCTTGCCTGCGCTGATGGCAATAACTTTTCCCGCTTCCTTCTGATTTCAGAGATGAGGCTATGTGCTTGGAAAACTTACAGAATTTCACTGAAGTTTTGGGCAAAATTTGCCCAAACCATTGGAGTCAATAGGATTTTTTTCCCACTGCAATAGACTTTGGGACAGAGCCTTACTGAAGGGATGTCTGCACAGAGAAAGCAATATAGTGACTCAGTATAGTCCATAAGAATTTAGGAATCAGAGCAACCAATTTAAAAATATCAGCAACTGATAATATTTAAAAATCTGTCATGTCATGTGACTCTTATTAATTTTTTTCTGGATTTTGCCCAGTATTTTGGCACCCACAGAATGTTTTAAATGCTTTCAGTATGGTATCAGAGGTACTTAAACCATGTTTCAAAAGGTTTTCTGCTATGTACTGCTTATACACTGTAGTGGACAGAATAAAGCTATTTAATTACAGTAGTATAATCTCAATAGGAATGTCAGTTTCCAAATTGTATTGATAATTCTGTGTATTTAAGATTCTGAACCACGTAGTATTAAGTGCTGGGGTAAGATGGTGGCATAATTGTCATTAATTTCTATAGTGATAATTACTCCTGCAAATGTGGATAATGTGTATTCTGCCCCATGATATGGATCATCCAGAAAGTCAGAATAGTAACAGGGAGCTGCTGTTTATTAGCCATATAAATAACTGTGGGCTGCTTATTTGTTTATTTATTTATTTATTTATACACTAAGTGGCCAGCGTGTTCCTGTGTCAGTTTTGAGTTGGTTCCTGAAAAGACAGGTTTCTACAGTGTACAATCTCCATATAGGGCAGACGGACATATAACTCCTGAGATGTCTAACTAGTACAGAGGGTCCTCAGCTGTTATGATTTTTTGAGTAGTTCAATGGTGTTTTAAAAATGATGCATTAAAAATTCTGTCTCAATAAGACATTTCAGTACTAAGCTTCAAAAGCAGTAGTCTTTATTAGACCTCATATGCACAGGTCACAAACACAGTGCTGATTCTTGGACCTTGTCCACATCTTAAATTTGTACCAGTGTTGTTTTTCATCAAATGGGTTCCAAAAATGAAATACATGTGGTCATTAGCCACAGGCTTACCTGTGGTTGAAGTGAAACACAAGGTACTTATAAAAGGCATACGTGAAGCATAGATCTAAATGCAATGCACCGTCAGCAGAGCAAAGGAAATATCTATTGAAGCAATGCAGAGTGTACAGTGATTCTCAACAACCAAAATAAATGCTTAATGGGTTGTTTCTTTTTAAAGCACTCAAGAAGTGTGGCTGCCATTAGATCTACTCAACTGTAACCTACAAGCTTCTATGCATGAAGTTGTTTTTGTGGATGTATGGGTAGGCAGATTGAAAGGCTTTGCCTAGTTTTTTATGGTTTATTTGGGGGGATATTTTCAAAAGCAACAAGAGAAGATAAGCACCATTGGTTCACTACTGGAGTTTATAGCTGCCATTTGTTATTCTGAAGATTTGCTATTAAATTTTATAGATGCAGATATGTGCAGGCAGCTACGGGACAAACAAAATTCCCACACCTGCATTTCAATAATGTTGGCTAAAATATGGTTCAATTGGTACTTTCAGGACTCTTCAAGTGCAACTTAGTGTCCTGATCTCTAGGTATTGTCTGTGGAGTAGAAGCATATCAAATCAGAAGCTGGAGTTGTATTCTCAAGATCGTACTTGGAATTTGAGTTGTGAATACTTGCAAGCAATGATCAGGATCTAATATATCAAAATAATCACAGAAATTAGCTATATATTGAATATCTTATACTCCATTGCCCTGGCAAGTCCCATGAGCTGAGCGTCGAGATGGATTTTCTAGCCTGCTCTAGGCTAACCTGCTTTGGTGGGGGAGTTGGTCCAGATGATCTCCAGAGGTTCCTTCCAACTCCTACCATTCTGTGAATCTGTGATTCTGTGGTTTTCACAGTTGGAGTGAGCTTAAGGTGTGAGCTACCTGTGACTTTGGAAATGCCTGCTTGTAACCATGTAGCATATATCCAGATCAGGAAAGATGTGTCCATGCTCCCAGAGCTGTGCACCACCACATGCACCTGCTGCCATGCACTGTGCAGATGCTGTCTAGATGCTTGGAATTTGCTGTGAACTGCAGTGCCAGACTGCACACCCTGTCTCCAATGAATACCCAGTCTCCTGTGAACCTTCAAGATATTATTCCTATAGACCCAGTCTCTGTTAAATCTGTGAAATCTTTTAATTTGTTGACCAGAGGCATCTGATGTGAACAAGCAGCACGAGAGGCACTGTGGTAGTGTCCTCTAGCAAAGTGCTAGGAAGGTGCTGCTGGCTTTAGCCAGAAGTCTCCTATGGCCCCATCATACCACAAAACCCTGTGAGGTGCTGTTTTACAAGCAGCAGAAAGTCTGGAGGTCTGCCTATGAAAGGATGGACAGCAAAAGGCACCACTGACACTTCACTGAAATTTTGCTCATTGTGATTTTGTGCTGTCAAGCCCCTGTGTGCTCAGCTTGAAAACTCTTTGCCTTGTTTTGCAGTCATTGCTTTATCTGCTGGTAGGTTAGCTCATCTGATGGGTGCTAAGTTTCTCTGTGGTGCTGAATGTAGCTGGAACCTAATTGTTTTCCTTGACCTCAAAGCTCCTTTGCAGAGAAAGGGAAGTCACTGAGCTGAAAGGTTAGGGCTTGTGTAGTCCTACCTTTACTAGAAGAATTATTTCCTGAATGACAATTTGTAACAGCTGATTAAGAAGTGCCCCTAATTTAGAAGTCCCAAACCAGGAGTGAGCCATGTACCTCCCTTGAGTTACTGCAGCTCTCTCCTGGCCAGAGCGGTTTTAGTCCATTACTCAAAAAGGTACTTTAAGATGGTCCCACAGACATAATATAGTTCAGTCCCATGCTGAATCCTGACTTTTGGGTAGATCCTATGACGCACTGCTGTGCAGAAGACACTTATTGCACTGTGCCATACAAAGTACTTAAGAATAAAGAAGTATCCTATCAGACCAATCCTATATTGTCATGGAGGCAAAAAAGGAAGAAAATAAACTCAGTAATAACCTAGTCATTTTTATTTTGGAGACATGTGGAGCTTTTGATATGGAAAGCTAGGATGACATTATACAGAAGGGATTGTGTTGAGAACCATGTTATATTTAAAGATGGTGAACTTCATTTAAATACAGAGAGTGTCAATAACAGCAAAAGGAGCAGAGAATAACACATCAATTATCTTTCATCTTAAATTAAGTTCTACTTTTGCAACTTTCTACAGTTGTTAATCCTCATTTAAAGTTTCTCTTAGCCCAGTTTTGGAAAACCCTAGTTAAGCAGAATTTTATAGGTCTGTGATCTATTTAATCCCATTTCTATGTGTCCACATAGAATAGTGGGATTCAGACTGAATTTTTAAATAACATTCAGCATTTTTTTTGTAGTTTAAAATGGTGTAGAGAGAATGGGAATTAAACCAGAGTTCTCATTTAGAAAAGACCATGAAAATATTCATTTTTTTTTTCTTGTAGTACTTTACAAGGTAAACAAACCCATTAAATTTAGGCATAGGAAATATTCCTTTTTCTCTCTATGCATATGCACATGTACACAACTATAAACTGTCATACTTTGAAAAAATCATTGTACCCTATTTTACAAATATTGTATTTTGTGAGATAAGCAGTAACATCATGGACTGAAACTTACTTTTTCATAATGTTCTGTGACTACTGACATGGTTAACAGTATTTTTTCCCACGAACACTTAGTCATGGAGAAACATTGATTCACTGAATTTTCTATCAAAAGTGTGTCTATACACAAGAACGTGTATACATCAAATATGATCTATTTGTGAAAAAAAATCAATCCAAAAGGAAGCATTTGTACTAACAAGGAATATTTGAAGTTTTGTGGAGCAGAACATTTCGATGCTTTGTTCTGAAGTGACTTTCAGCTTGTTTTATATTGTACAATGTTTCAAAGTGAAAAAAAAAAAAGTAAAATGTTAATATTTTATTTGAAGGAAAAATTCCCTTGACCTAAAACAATTATAAAGATGTTCCATGAAAAATGCAAAATTTGCCATTTTATTCCGATTCAAAATGAGAAAGTATGTAATTGCAGAATTCCCAGTGGGAATTACGGCACAGTCCTGCTCTGAGAACATTTCAATGCATAGCAAATGTATGATTCAGTTTTATCATTATGTTCCATCCGTTTTACAGTATGACATATCTATACCAATATATGTGCTATACACTTCTGTAATCTATTATGTACAAGGTGTATGCTCTCTTTCTAGGTGTACAGTGCATGCCTTGTGGTATATAGCGTACGTACATACAGCATCTTAATGTGGGCTGTATGTGGCAGTGGGCAGTGTATGCCATTTACAAACCGATAAATGCACTACATTATGTGGTGGATGTGTTTTATGCAAGTTGCTTGCAATTTCAATGTGCAATGTGCATTTGCGGCAACAACTTCTGTTCAAAAGCCACCCGTGGTAACTCATGGGAACATTCCAGTTGCAGCCTTTAACTAGGACAGGCTTTAGATCATGAGATGTGCAACAGTGCACATGTTAATGTTTGAGACAAGAAATCATCATGCAGACTGCTGAGGATTTGCCAAACCGTGATGGAATCCTACACTGATGGAGAGAACTGGTGTCCTGGCACAATTAAACTGGTGCCTCCACACTGATACCCATTTAGAAAACAGACAGTGACCTGCAACATTGTCTGAAAGCAATGGTCCCTGTAATAACGTTGAGTTGTCTGCTGCTTTGTCAAATTGCTTTAGCCAATTTGAAATGTTTAGATCATGCTAGTTCAGTCTTTTTGCCCTCCCTCTTCAACACTGACAATGCCTATAAAAATGTATAAGCTATGCAAAATGCTATGGCTAGTAACAGAATTTTGAAGTCCTTCAACTAATGAAACAACTCACACTGAAATATTTGATTATTTAAATGTGATAAAGTTATTTTCTTCTCAGATAGAATGAAGCAGCTTTATCTCATGAAGATATTTAAATCTCAAACAAAACAAACAAACAAAAAAATCCGACCTTAGTTTCCACCCCACAGTCCAGCTTAAAAAAATACCTACCACCTTTCAAAATCATTTAGAGATCATGAAGCCATGGAGATGGTCAGAATAGGTAACACACTTGCAAACAAAGTGTTTTGACAATAAAAAACCTACACGTTTCTAAAGAAGTTGGGATTTTTTTAGTAGCAAAACACAGAAATTATTATACTCTTATGTTCCAAAACCACAGTTCTAATCCCTGCAGTGTGCTTTACAAGGTGCTCTAGACCTGCATCTCGTAATTTGGTCATCTATATCTGAATGCACAGCCCTATGCTTGCAGGGAGCTTGTTAGTACCAGAGGAACTGAAGTAGTACAGTGGAAATTACATACTTGCTTCAAGTTTTGTTTCTGTTTCTGAAGACAGGAGGAATGAAAAACTATAAAACATCTGAAGAGTAGTTCAGTCAATCAGATCCACCCAGTGATACATTTTAATACAGAGAAGGTGCTGGCTTTTGCAGAGCAATGATTTGTTGGTAGTGGGAGAAAGGCCAATCTCGTGCTGGTTTTATTGGCTCCAGTGAGACTTTAGTCCAGTGGACTGTAAACTCACTGAAACACAGGTCCTCTGGCAGAGAAGAGTATCCTTGGGAATGTGTTCTTCAGTAGATTTAATGGGATATAGTAACAACAGAAATTGCTGTCTCTGATGGTTTAACTCATTGCCAATAAACTGCATCACAAAGACCTTTTTTATGGGTCAGTGGAATGGATGGGCTTCTGGGCATCTGGTGGGAATTTGAAAGAGGTTTGGAGGATTTGAAAGAGCTTTTGTCCATGGATTATAAACTATGCCTTAAAATGTTTATACTAATTATACGTCTTGTAAGTAGAAAAACAGCCAGGAACATTATCACATATTGAAATTAGTCCAATACTATTTAAATGGAATTTTAATGGATATTTCTCTCAATAACGGGCTTCTTCCCTGAGTTGCCAGTCCTTGTTTTACTCTAGACACATTTTATATTGCAGAGTACAGAAATTATTTCCACTAGTCAGGTACAGGGAATCTTCCACTGTGACTGAGGAATACAGTACATAATTAGGGCTAACCATTTTGTAAGGTCCATATTCTTGAATACCAGATATTGTACACCTTGTTTTAGTAGCTCTTCAGTATGCAAATCCCTACTTTCCAATTCATTATTGCCTTCAGCACTCATTATCTAATCATCTTTCCACACTACACACTGAATGAACAGAAGCATATTTCAAAGCACAGCGTAGAATTTTCCTAATGCCTCTAGCTGAATAAACTTATGTGACTGCCTTCAACAGATCAATAAATGCCTTGCTAAAGAATGGTAGGGGCTTCTGGCAAAAACACAATTAGCAGTGAATGGTAGGCCTGTAATGCAAATAGGCCCTTATCAACTCAACTTTGATTGATTCACCTGATAAGAGAACAAAACATTATAAATTCAAATTATAACTCAAAAATGTCTCCTTATCTGATTTTTCTGTGTATAAACCGTTTAAAGGTCTTTCTTTTAGAACAGGAATGCACAAATTAGAACAAACTGCACTTGAAATTTATATATCATAGTAAAAAGTTACTACTTCAGGTGCAGGGAGTATTTTTGAATTGACACCTAGAAATAGGCTTGCATTCAGTAGGAAAAAAATCTTTACTTTGTGTTTATTTCAAAAATTTTAAGGGGAACAACTTGAAATTGGAGGCCTGTACTTAATGTGTAATCTTTCATTTCCTGTTTAGGCTCCAAAGAAGCACTTGCAAAATGGAATCATTCGTGGATACCAGATAGGTTATCGGGAGTACAGTGCAGGGGGAAATTTCCAGTTCAACATCATCAGTATTGATACCACTGGGGACAGTGAAGTTTATACGCTGAATAACCTGAAAAAATTCACCCAGTATGGCATGGTAGTCCAGGCTTGTAACCGGGCTGGAATAGGACCTTCTTCTCAGGAAATCATCACCACTACTCTTGAGGATGGTAGGTCCTTGGCAAACAGCTATCATGGGACATACTATTATTTCTTTATTTCTATTTACCTTGTTACATTTATTGCTTGGTTAGTGATTATTATAGTGGGAATGATAGAAGACCAGCCTTTACAGGTGTTAGATACAGCAGCCAACTGGATGGGAATAGACTGGCCAATAGGCATGTACAATTTTAATTGCAAGAAATGCGGAATCGTCCAGGTAAATAAATATAACTCTACTAATGTGATATATCCTGCTGTGAATGATATTGAGTAAGACTATGGCTTTCATTAAGAAGGTTATTGCTCTGGTGTTTACATATTTGCAAATGCTGTAGTCTCATCCTAGCTTCGTAGTGATCTCATCCTAGCTTCGTGGTGATCTCATCATAGTTTTGTGATGCTAAGAAGTAAAACTCTGAAAGGTGAACCGATACTGTTAATTTTATTCGCTTTCTTTTGTTTTCAAATGAATCTGCTGTGAAACCTAGACCTCTTGTACTGCACAATACCTTATCTTGTCAGCCTAGAGATATGTGTGTTTTTTTCAAGTGTATCCAAACTAATGGGAGAAAAATAATTTTTATTTCAGACAAAATTCAGCCTGTCTAATCCAAGGAACAATTTAGATATTTTTTTTTTTTTCAAACTGTGTAAAAAGTACTTCTCAAACAATGAGAGGGAGTCCTCTAGTGGAAAAAGAGAATGATTCCATATCCAAAAAGTGGCCAAATGTTTTAGAGGAGTATAAGAGCAAGTAATAATAATCCTAAAGGATAGTGCAGGTCAGATTTTCAGCTACTGTAAATTGGCATCAGTGTAATGAAGTCAGTGCCAGCTAGGGATTTTTACATGGGGGAAATGACGTAGCACACATCTAAAATTATCAAGAGCTATAGATTTTGAGCCATACACTTCATGGAAGCTGGCATTTTTCATTTACTCTGAATGTTTCTACGACTAAACAGATCACTACAAGACCTCAATAGGCAATATACTCATATATGCATATATTTTTTATTATAATAAATAGTTGGGTTTTTTCCTTCAGAATCTGTCATGCTTCCTTTTCCTGGCAACGTTGGTTTTGGTGGTTTTTTTTTGGCCGTTACGCAGTTTTGTGTCCCTCTCAGATGTCATGAGCTTTAAAAACAATGCCAAATGCTAATACTGCTGTATTGCTTTGACACAAAATGGCCAATAGAAAATGCCTTAGATTTAGCTGACTTTTTCCAATTTCTCTAAGTATCAGTGAAAATATTTTATGGACATTTTTTCCAATATATTTTAAAGGAGTGCCTGCTTTCCACCACCACCAATTTTAAAGGGGTATTAGGATCATCGGGAAAGATGAAAATTTGGCTCTAAACTTTAAAAAATATATTTCAATTGCTTAAAGAGTATTCTGCATATTTCAGCACTAGGACACATTTCTTTTTCAAAAAAAAAAAGCGACAAAAAACCTATTAGAAGGCTAGTCAGCAAGTGGGGAAGCAGTACATCAAAAGTCATTCCAGGGAAACCAGCTGCACTTACAGAAACATGTGGATTGTAGCAAGAATAAAGGTTTCACATTGTTAACAGTATGTAACTGCTAATTAAATAATGGGTGGCGGGTTAGCAATGAAAATTGAAAGGGTAGCTGAAGGGTAAAGCTTGAGTTGTATTGATCGAGTTAAAAATGGTGAATATCTTATTCCAGTGCCCAGTTGCCCTCCAGGAAACGTGCAAGCCACTGCCACATCACCAGAAACCATCTCTATTTCTTGGTCAACATTGGCCAAAGAAACCCTGAACGGGATTCTGCAAGGATTCAGGGTTATCTACTGGGCCAATCTCTTGGATGGAGGTGAGAGAAATTAAGCTGTTACCAAGTAACAAGTCATGTGTGGCCTTTATATCATTTACTCTCTGCTGTGAAGCCATTGTACTTCCTTTCTCTTTGGTTTAAAGAAAGCTTCATCTACTTGCTAAGGAAGCCATTTCCCATAAAGCTTTAACAGATCAGCAGGCATTGCAAAACTGCCTGGAGGGGCCCTCGGGGAAGGCGTCCACTGTGGGTTTGCAACACTCCATAGACCTATCATAGTACCCAAAATGACCTGAACAAATGTCATCTCAGTTACAAAGTCCAGTAGGTTTCTTTTACAGAGAATGGTAGTTTGAACCTAGGACATACCTGCCCAAACCCGTATTTTATTTTAGTTTGTTGGTTTTCTGTTTGCTTAGCTAGTTGCCTACTTGAGAGATTATTTTTTGACAGGATGCATTTCATCTCCATAGCTGAGGGCAGATTTTGGAAAAGACTTGTATTTTCATGGCAGCCTTTTCTGTTGTGCTTACATTTTGTACTCTTAGTGTAATTCCTAGGGAAATAGACTCCTGAGCACAGAACGAGTGAAATGATTGAAGGAGAAATAAGATGCTTTACTAATCTGCAACTTATCACATGATGATAATTTTACATGTGGTCCTTTCTTGTAAATTAAATATTAGTACGTTTGAGAAGTGTGTGCCTTTATTCCTGTTTGCCCTGCTGAATTTTCACAGCTCTAGGGCAACAAGTTGTCTCCCTTCTTTTGCTTTCATCCATCAGGATCATAGTTCCTTCTAACATGCAACTGTCTTGCAAATCCTGACCTCTGTTAGTGTGGCAAGGGGAACTTGGAGTGGAAATGTAACCCAGAAGCCCATTGTTACCACTGGTAATGCTGGAGTCAAAAATATTTGGAAATAAACCACCAATTCCTTTGTATATTTAAAATTAATGACAAAAAATGTGAGAGGCATACATAAAAATGTAGACATGACAGACATAAAATTATATGTTTTCAATGCTGCCTGTAGCCTCTGCATCAGATCCTATGTGAATATTGTCTGTGCACATCTAAGCTCCTATGTGATGTCCTACAACATGATGAAAAAAGATAATGTTCACGCAGTGCTTAAAACTGGATTTTCTTCATTTGTTCAGCTTTATTTTCTGCCCTAAATATGTTTAAAGCTTTTTTGCCATATGGGTTGTACTTCTTAGCTTGCTGCAAAAAAAAGATTTATATGAAGTGCATCATCCTTCTGCAAGTAAATCTGATTTTACTCTGTTTAAATCTATTGTTAGTCAGTATTACTGCCAACAAGTGCCTTGCAGCAGCACTTGCTACATATTTTAAAATAAAGGGGACTTTTTCTTGGTTTTCCTTATGAGAAACGGTCTTTCTCAGAACCAGAAAATCTTTATGAAGATAACTGACTTTCTCATTTTTGCTTTAGGAAATGTTTTGCAATAATGTCTTCTGTTATCTATTCCTTATGAAAAAATCTTATTACTGTAGAAATTTTCAATTCTCTTCACTGTATTTAAAGAAATCGGAAAAAAAAAAAAAAAAAAGGTTGAAAATTAATGCTTTGAATGGTAAGAAGTCTGGACGCAGAGGAATTTATTTTCATTTATTATAATTTGTTGCTGTTTTATAATAATGAAGCATTACTTGTTTGGTACACTCTTCAATACCCAAGATTTCCACAGCAGATATCAATAACTGTGAGAAGATTGAACTTGGCAATAACTCAATTTTGTTTTTATTCTATAGAGCTAGGAGAGATAAAGAATGTCACTACTACACAGCCATCACTAGAGCTTGATGGCCTGGAAAAATACACCAACTACAGCATTCAGGTGTTGGCTTTTACACGAGCTGGAGATGGAGTGAGAAGTGAACAAATTTTCACCCGCACTAAAGAAGATGGTAAGCAGTAAAACATTTTCCATTCCCACTTTTGCAGAATGTTTGTATGTCTCAGGCTTTCAAAATAGTGCAAATATTGTACACAAACATGCAGAGTGAGATTTCTATCTGTAGGTCTTGAGTTACAAGCACATGGAGAGGAGTATGAACCCATAGCTTTGAAAACAAACTGACTGTTTCCAAGACTCCAGTTCAGGTGGCCCAGAAGTTTGTAGATAACACTAATTATCTGAGCAAGTTTGACTATATTTTTTTCCCAAATACTTCAGGATCTTATTTGAGAATTTTGAGAGGGTTTGTGTTAATTCTTTCAAAGTGATTGAAAATGGGGAAAGGAGGAGAGACTCTTGCCTTTGTTCATAGACCAAAGCATGGAAAATTAAAGTCCTAATGCTGCAAGTTTAAGAAACTTTTAATCACACACAGACACACATGATTTCATAATCACTTTCTTGTAATCTAAACTATGGAAATCACTTCATGTTGCCTCAATAGGATGCCACATAGTGATCTATTTCTCAAGGACTGGAATTTCAAATTCAGGGGCAGGTTTGTCCCTAACTTGTTTAATGCCTTGAAAACCCCATGAGATATACATCTTTAGATCCCTAAACACTTTTGAAAATCTGGATCAAGAATTTTTTGGCAGAAATAAAAATGCGCACAGTCCTGGCAATGAAGTTACTTGAATAAAGTTTGATTGGTAAATTCTCCTGTGAGTTATGCAATGTTTTTTCAAGGAAATTAGTCAATGAAGTTTTCTTTATTACTTTTCCAGTTTACTGGTCATTCATGAATATATGAATATATTTGTCAATATTTTGATTTGTAATGAGATTTACAAAAGTTCCAAGAGAGCGGGTTCAGTAGATTAACTGACTTGATGAATGTCAGGCTGGTTTTTGCCAATAAAAAAAATTACTTGATGAATGTTATTAATTTTTTCCAATAAAATATTAAGGGACTCGTACAAAAATTTACATATATTGTAAGGTTACCTGGCCCCAATTGCAGCTGAATCCAGGGGATGAAGTATAAATGAAAATTGGACTTATAAAATTTTCTCTTACATTATCAAATGAGTTATTTTTTCCTCGTTCTTTTTTTATGTGCTTATTACTTTCCATTACTTCGATCAAAGTTGAATTAACAGCAAAAAAAGTAACTGAATGTCTTATAGCTGAGAAGTGTGAGGAAATCTAGGCATATAGTAATGTTGGCTAATGTAGGTCTACTTCCTGGTCTTGCTAGATGTAGGTATCACTGAGATCCTGCATCAGCTTGCAATAATGGTTCTGTTTAAAACTGTCTCAAGGTACCACACCTAGTCTGAAACAGTCAAGGACCATTTACTCAGCTATAGACTTGTGTGTCTTAAACACTGAATGTTAGATGATTCTAATCCCACCCTAAAGTCCCTTAGCAACTATTTGGACCATCGAAGTCCGGAGTCAGATGCTCTTGAGACACCCAGTGCTTGGAGGTAGATGGTTTTATTTCAAAGAAAAATCTAAAAAGTAAGATAACTCTAAGATCACCTGCTGCATTTTCAAGTTACTTTTTGTCAAGCAGATCCCAGCATGGCAACTTTTCCCTGAGTACTCTCTGAACACAAAGGCTGTCACCCCAGAGCCTTGGGACTGGGACTGAAGCCACCAGGACACAGGGGAATTGTCCCACACTGCTCCAGTGCCTCAGGGACTTGGTCTTGGAGAGATACAGTTCATGTCAGGGGACCTCTGAGGACAGCAAGAATGTGCTTGCTGGTCTATGACTTTGAGCAACCTTGCAGCCTGCTACTTTATGTGTCAGATTGGCCAGCCAGTCCAATGTCGGTGGACAATAAGGAGCATTCTTCCAGAAATGCCTGAAAAGCCACCTGTAGAGACAGCCTCTGGCTCCTGGGTCAGCACTTCATGGCACGTATGCCAGAGAAGTCATAACGGCTGTTTGGGAATGCCGTGCCCTGGCTTCTGTTGAGTTAAACTCTTGACGGGAGCTGCAAGCTACCAAAACTTGCCTAGGTGCAGATGACATCTTGTCTCTATGTGAGGTTCCTTCAGCTTTTGGAATTGATCAGATGGCAGAAGTGGTGCCAGCAGTACCTCTGTCTTTCAGTGGGGACAACAAAAACATGGTGTACTGATCCTGAAAGGTTGCTGACCCCTCACCAAGATCATTCCCCTGCTCTAAAAAGGCTCAGACACATCTCAGCCATAGCTGATATTTACTGAACTTTTCTCCAGTATTTGCAGTGATGAGGACTGCATAGCCCCCCTAAGTATCCTGTACCAGTTAAGGATGCACCATACTGCAACTTCTTTTGCTGCAAAGTGGGTTGAGTACTTCCCTCTGCCCTGCTAACCAGGGAGACCAATGGATAGCTTGCTGCTTTACAACAGTATTTCCTATCTGAAGGGTTACTGTGTCCATTGCTCCCTCCCCTGACACATACACCTTCCATCTCCTGTGACATGTCTCCAGTTTGCAACAGTTCTGAAACATCGGAAGCCCCTGATTTTTTTTTCTTTTTCTCTTAATCTACAACTTCCTAGTTTGCTTCTTCTTAATTCTTTGTGGCTCTTTTGCTCTCTCCTTTTCTGAGATCAGACAGGCCCTGAGACATGGGAAGTACATAGACTCAGACCATGTTTGGCTGCTGTGCAAACGCTCATCTTTCATCTTTAATCCTCCTAGCAGCTCAGCAATAATTCACTCCAAAGCAGCGTGACTAGCCTTTTCAGATGTTTTCTGGTCCTCAGAGTGGTTCCACTCATTAATCTTTTGTCCAGAAAACTAAACTGAAAGGTGTTCCAGAAAATACAATTATTTCATTGTATTTCATTTCATTCTAAATTTGAGAGTCATGGATTTGACGGATGGACCACTCGGGGGATAAGGAGTTGGCTGGATGGTCACACTGAAAGAGTTGTGGTCAACAGCTCGATGTCCAAGTGGAGACCAGTGACGAGTGGTGTTCCTTGGGGGTCAGTATTGGGACCAGCACTGTTTAACATCTTTGTCAGCGACATGGACAGTGGGACTGAGTGCACCTTCAGCAAGTTTGCCAACAACACCAAGTTGTGTGATGCTGCTGACACATTGGAGGGAATGGAGGCCATCCAGAGAGACCTTGATAGGCTTGAGACTGGGGCCTGTGCAAACCTCATGAAGTTCAACAAGGCCAAGTGCAAGGTCCTGCACCTGGGTTGGGGCAACCCCTGGTATCAATACAGGCTGGACAATGAGCGGATTTAGAGCAGCCCTGTGGAGAAGGACTTTGGGTGCTGGTTGATGAAAAACTGAATATGATCCAGCAGTGTGCGCTCGCAGCCCGGAAAGCCAATTGCATCCTGGGCTGCATCAAGAGAAGCATGGCCAGCAGGTCAAGGAAGGTGATTCTCCCCCTCTACTCTGTGCTGCTGTGACACCACCTGCAGTACTGTGTCCAGCTCTGGGGCCCCCAGCACAGGAAAGACATGGAGCTGCTCAAGTGGGTCCAGAGGAGGGCCATGATAATGATCAGGGAGCTGGAGCACCTCCTCTGTGAGGACAGGCTGAGAGAGTCGGGGGTGGTCAGCCTGAAGAGGAGGAGACCTTATAGCGGCATTACTGCACTTAAAGGGGGCCTGCAGGAAAGGTGGGGAGGGACTCTTGATCAGGGAGTGTGGTGATAGGATGAGGGGTAAGAGTTTCAAACTGAAAGAGGGAAGATTTGGATTAGACTTAGATTAGATATTAGGAAGAAATTCTTCACTGTGAGGGTCGTGAGGCACTGGCACAGGTTGCCCAGAGCAGTTGTGGCTGCCCCCTCCTTGGCAGTTTTCAAGGTGAGGTTGGATGGGGCTTTGAGCAACTTGGTCTGGTGGAAGGTGTCCCTGCCCATGGCAGGGGGGGTTGAAACTAGGTGATCTTTAAGTTCCCTTGCAACCCAAAGCGTTCTATGATTCTATGATTCATGTTTCGCTTCAGCTACACAACTTTTTATTAAGGGTAGTAAAGGTTTAGAGTGGAATATATAAAGGCCTAAAGTTAAACATAAACTAAAACCGAAGTCCTGGATCTAGACATTCTTAAGGCTATGGAAGTTAAATGGGAAAAGAGCATGCACGTTGCCAAACTATATGCATCGGACAGGTGCCTCATTCCTCAGAAGAACAGACATTTCTTCTGTAACTTTCTAAGGAAAATTCTCCTGTAGGGGATTATTCAGTAGGACTAATTTCAGTGCACCTAAAAGATCCTGCCCTAAATTCAGTTTGTGAAACAAAAATAATTGCAAACTTAACAGAGCTTAGATCTGGAAACCTTGTATCTCTGCTCCCAGACCTTCTCTGGCTGAAACTGTGACGAAAGATATTCCACCCTCCTTTAATAAAATCTGTAAATTTGAGATATTTCTAAATGACTGCCAAGCCCTCCACATCGTTATTACTATGAAGCCATATCACATCATTAATTTCTTTTTCTTTTTTCGTTTCTTTTACTTGAGGGGAAACTTTTCTTTGTGAAATCAATCATGCAGCATGTTCTACTGCTGCTGTGGAAAGGCAGATCATGGCCTCCTGTCGCTTCTCTGTTGGTGTTCAGCTAGAGACATCAGGCCAAAATTTCTTTAGCAGACTTGAAATCTCCAGTGTGGCAAAATAAGAGTAACCCAGGGAGTGAAACTGTCAGCCTGAATGACATAAGTTGATGGTTTGATTTCTTGTAATGTTTGATACTGATTTTAGACACCAGAGGTCAGACACTGCTGCTGATCAGCTTAGGAAATGGGAACAGCTCTAGCAAATAATATGAAATGAGCTTTCCTTTCAACGTGATCATAGGTATGGGTTTTGTCTAGCTTTTTTCCCCCATTAGCCTTCGGAAAAAGAAACTGCTCTTTTTGAAGTTCCTCCTGGCAGAAAAACAAGCCAAGCACGAAATGTCCAATTTTTAAGAATCCATTGTAGTTTTGTCCCTTACCCTTTCCACTTCACAGTTTCTAATAAGCTGCTTGTTCTCTTCACTTGAGGACTTAATTTACTAAATCATTAAAAATTAAAGTAGTTCTTCAAATTCTCTTCCTTGCTGTGTTCAAAGTACTGTTTCAAAAGCTACTCCATTTTATAGCAATGGGGGCGTGTGACAAATTCCCTCCGTTTCTTCACTGCAAGTGTGATATGAGAAAACTATAGTTGAAACAACGAATTTGCTCCCCATACAAGCCCGACACATGGCACAGCAGCTCGGCCAGTAACAGTGCCTCTGACCTTGGGCAGAACTGGCCAGCAGGGGACTCAGCCCCCAGAGCACCCTCTCAAGGAAACCTTCCTGCAGTTGGCAATTTGGCTGCTTTTTACTGAGCGTCTGGCAGAGGTTGCTTCTGTGGTTTCTGTGGTGCAGGAGGATGCATGTTTCTCTCTTGTAGCAGTCTCTTTTGAGAAAATGTGTTCTTATGCACAGAAAGCTGTTTGTATATGACAGGAGACTTTGCTCGGTGCAGCAGTGCTGTCTTTCCAGCTCTCCTCTGCCAGAGAGGTCAGCATTCAGAGCAAGAGGAAAGCTGCAGCAAGAGAGAAGCAGGGACTAGCTTCAGGGAGGAAGGAGGAATAACACTAAACCCCTTTGCCAGCCGCATTGTAAGGCTCTTCCTCAATCCAGAGAGTTTTTCCTGCTCTCCTTTCTCTCTCTGGATACCAAGATTCCTGGCAATTGGTGTGAGAGAGATGGATGTACAGACACCATCCGACAAAGCTTTGTATTTGTTCTAAAATGAATAAGCGTATATCCAATCAACTGCACAAGCTCAGTACTCTTTGGAGCAGAGCTCTGCTTGGGCTTGTTCAACTGATGAGGATGGCTGTGCTGTTCATCACCTTGGTGCTCCCTTAATGACCCCTTAATGCATTTATTTCTATTGTCAGAGATCTCCAGTTTTGTCTTTTTGACTGAGAGAAAAAGGTACAGAATGATAAATGATCCCCTTGCGAAACTGGCAAATTCGATAGAAATGGTGTGATTAATATGAGGACAGTTCAGAGTGAAATGAGGGTGGACACCACATGTGAAGGTATTTTGGCTAGCATATGTCTAAATTGTAGGTAAGATATCTACATGAACAAAGGCACTACCAGCAGCAGTCAGGAGTTATTTTTTGTGTTTCATAAATGTAAGAGTCAATAGGATAGTCCTGTGTAGTTCAGAATTAAAAACCTGTTAGAGAGCAGGGTTCAGTTTTCTGATATATTGGTGATATCGTTCTTAAATGCACCGTACTCTGTGCATTTGCCTCCCTGCTGTTCAGTACTGTGAAGAAAAATGGTGATAATCTCTCTGCTTATGAAAAGGGGAATAAGAAAGTTCCTGGAGCTCCTCCCCACTATCTGGCACATCTAAATGCCGTTTCCCGGACTAGTCATATCAGTATAATTGCCTTCTCTGCGTTAGCATTCCACTTGCACTGTCAAGAATACAAAGTGTTCTGCTCCACATGAAAGCAGCATGCTATTTCCGTGTCTTTCAAAGCCTTGCTAGCTGGAGAATGAGGCCATCTTTGATCTTAAATTTGCCAAATCTTCTCCCTGGAAGGTTGCAAAGTTGGCTAGAAGCAGTCCTCAGCATCTCTGTGCTCAGCCCTTGTTGTCCGCCAGGTTCTTACCATTATTTTACCCCTGCTGACCATGGAAAAAAGAAACTATTGTATTGTGCATATTTAGCTTGTCTTTGCTAGGATCTGTGGGAATCAGTGTGCTAAATAAAGATCCGTGGAGAATTCAATAAGCCAGCCCAGGTGTCCTGATACTGCTGTCTCGTAATGACTGAAGCTAGTAAGACTATGTGATGTAACAGCAATGAGAGAAAATACCTTCAGTTAGCATAGCAAGACTGGAGTCTTTCCTCTCTAAGACAGGGCAGGCACTGCATTCCCCTCCCACAACTTCTTCAGATACTCAAGGAACTTATGTTTATTAACAAATGTTTCAGTTAATGCTGAGCTAACTCATAATAGTCTTATTTAGGTCCAGGAGATGAGTTCGAACAATGACTTTACTCTCTGGACCGAGGACAGTGGGGGTCTGTAAGCATCAGATGACAGCCTGTAGATTTCTTGCTAAGTAAAAAAGAAATGTGAACATTTAGTCCTCACCAGCCATTTCCACATGCACAACCCAGCAAACAAAGACAATGTATCAAAATAAGGAGTAATAAATCAATATTCAGAATAATTTTGGCACTACTGCAAAAACTTTTGCCTGATTCCAGCCCCTCCACAATGAGGTGGAGGGGTCCTTGGATTAGAAATTTGACTGTACAGCTTTCTGACTTTCTTTCTAGCCAGTTGTTCTGCTGGTCTATATACCAGACAGTAATACAGCAGTTCAATGACAAGTAATGTTTTACACATATGTCTATTGACTGGAAAATGCTAGATGAATTCTGAGTTAATCCCTCAACAGTTGGCAGCCGTGACCAATTAGCATCAGAACCTGTCCCTATAGATCACACCCTAATTTAACAATAAATTACTTTAACCTCAGACGTCTATTTGCAGTGATTTCCAGAAAACATTACTAACCGTAAAGGAATCCTCCTGTGGGTTAAGTAATTACCCTGGAGAGCTAGCTTTCACTCTTCAGCAGCGGGAGCGAGTAGCATTTCTAATGAGCTGGGTATAAATACCAAGTTGAATGCTGTCAAGCATCAATATTTACTCTGCATTGGATAGAAATGCTAACTGAATTAGCCCTTTGCAGCGAGGGGCTGGGTTTGCATACAATTATAATCATGACATTCTCACTTGATGCCTTATTAGCTTTCTCAACACCTTACAAATAGAAAATGTATATTTGGAAATGTTGCACTGAGCGGTGCCTGTCAGTTTTCTTACATCTTCCAGTAGCACCTGTACAGGTATAAAATTGAAGTTCTTCTTGTATGCTTTTTACAACCTGAAGTAGCTAGCCACAAAGCTAAGCAAATTTAGACCCGAAGCTGTCTAGCTTCTCTTTATAGGCAAAGTTTTGTACCACCATAATATCTCCACACTTAAATGAGGTAGAACAAAGATTAAGGATCCATCTATGAAGCAAGCTGGACAAGGATTTTTCCATCTGTATTGCACAATAAGTTTTTGTGTGAAAGTAAAAAAAGCTGATCAAGCATTGCAATGGCAATTTCACTGGAAATTCTAACATTTCAGTTGTTTTGCCTGAAATTAGATGAAAATATTAAATTCCTCATGAACTAAAAGCTCTGTAGAGAACAGAGTTCATCAAACTGTTTCATTTTGTCTTTAATACCATATGCAATAATTTCCAATACAACGTATATATTTTAATAATTTAACATGAATATTCACCACATGCAGTTTTAAAATATATTTGAAATTATTTATTTTTGTAATTTAAAATAAATTTTAAAATATTTTCCTGTTCAAAAAAGGTGAGTTTTTTCCGAAAACTTTAGAACAATTTATTCTGATGTTAAATGTAGCCTTTGCTATTTTTTTAAGTACAAACTTATGTGTATGTGATATTCTAGCGTGCAGGAATTTTTTGTCATTAATATAGACAGTGTTTCCAAAGTTGGAGAACACTGTACCGTGTAACATGTGTTTGAAAAATAGCATAGGCTTGTGAAATTAAAGCCTTTCTCAAATGCAAGCATGTGAAGAGGTACAGTTAAGATTGTGTATTAGGAAGAAGTTCTTCACTGTGAGAGTGGTGAGGCAGTGGAACAGGTTGCCCAGAGAAGCTGTGGCTGCCCCCTCCCTGGCAGTGTTCAAGGCCAGGCTGGATGGGGCTCGGAGCAACCTGGTATAGTGGGAGGTGTCCCTGCCCTTGGCAGGGGGGTTGGAACGAGATGATCCTTACCGAATGGTCTCTTCCAACCCAAACCATTCTATGATTCTATGCACCAAGACTGTACATTTCCTGGCTGAAGTTTTATCCATATAGTTTTAGAGAGGTATATTTTCTCTTTTTCTGTGGCAGTTTTCGATGGCTTATATAGATCACTGCTATAATTAGCAAAATAGATATGTGTTCATATACAGCAGTACCAGATAGAGGTCTGAGCTATTTGCGGGCAAGACTAGGGATAAGGATACTGTGTGGCCATGTGTCTGCTCACACTTCATGCCCCTGGCTAGACCTGGGACATGTCAGGCAGTGCTAACTGCATGAGACTACAGCTCATCTGCTCTCCATTAAATTCACAACTGCAGTGTGTATGTCCATTAAACTGTTCACATGCATATTATTTATAGTGTGAGCAATAATTTGGCATGGGTATGTGCTCAAAATTGACAGTTTATAATAATACATTGTTAGGCAATTTCACTGGCTGCAGCCAACATATAGTCATGCATGCAGGCTGGGGGTCATATTTCATAAAAGTTTAACCATCAGTGGCAGCTTCTGGTTTGGGGCACTCTGAAGCAGAGCCTCTCCCCACTTAGGGACTGGGGCACAGCATTCCATACCCTCTCCCCTGGCATGGGCAGCATGAAAGTCTCTTCCTAACACAGGGTGTCCTTCTCATTCCACAGGGGCAGGGTTGCTAAAGCGGCACGCTTCCCTTTTGCTTTTTAATCTCTGTCACGCTGGGATGACTGAGTGCCTGCCTTGGGCCACTCTAACACATCTTGATTTTCCAGTTCCAGGTCCTCCCGCTGGTGTTAAAGCAGCTGCGGCTTCGGCCTCCACCGTCTTCGTCTCCTGGCTCCCTCCCCTTAAGCTGAACGGCATCATTCGAAAATACACAGTCTTCTGCTCACACCCCTACCCAACAGTAAGTCCCACAGGGTGACCACAGATGGGCAGCACTGACTTGCAGGGCTGAAACAGTGTGTTTGCAGATACTCAGTCCTGGATGTTCTCCTCGCCACTTGCTTTCCTGCCATTTGTTCACCCTAAGCAAGGGTAAAGGGGGATCCTGGGGCTATGTGGATGACTGAGATTTAGTTTTGTTTTTTCCCACCTATCAAACTTTTGCACTGTTTAAAACCTGTGGCAGAGCACTGACTCACAAATCATTTCAAAACTCACAGTTGAAGTTGAGTATCTTTTTTTCTTTTTTTTAGAAGGTACTCTGCTACCTTTCACAGGGCCAGCCCTGGTGTAGCTGGAGGCATGTATTTGTGTACCCATACTTAGATGTCTTTTCATCTAAGTTCCTGCCTTTTTGGCTTGAGTATTCATGTGTGAAGGAACAGAATGACTTATGAACAAACACATTTGCTTGTGAATAAAATTATTTATGCCTGGAGTATTTGTCCACTCTAGGTCTACAAGCTGTTACTTGCTGAGAAAGTGACAAGAGAAAAATTGAATTGAGTATCAGGTATCTTTCTCCTTCTCTGAGTCACAAAGGAATCCAGCTATCTTTAATTGCTCTTTGTAAAGGCACATGCATATTTTTTTTTAATGTACATTGAAACCAGTAGTTATTTAGTTTTTATCCAAGATTTTGATTTAATTTTGGAACAGGACTTCCCATCAAAGGTAGCATTGCAATTAGCAAAATGCAATCTTAGTTGAATAGACAAAGAAAATATTGTTTCAGAAGTAATAGGAGTTTGACAGGGACATTTCTAAAAGTGCCTCAGGCTTGTTTTCAAAGCTGGCTGAGAGAGAGAGAGGCCTGAGGGTATGTCTGAATGGAACTGTAACCCACACTTCCGGCAAGCGAACTAATTCTGCAGGTAGTCAAGGGGACACAGGGCAAAACACACATGTCCATTGATGGTTGTGCTTAAACTTATGCATCCTACTATAACCAGGATTTATTAGTCACGTCCAAAGCTAAGGGTTGGAGAGCTTTGCTTCATTTACGTTTTGGGACTACTGACTCCTAACTCCATTAATTAAATAATTGTATCTATGCAAACCAAACTAATCTTGAGCATACTGTTTAAATGTAAACTAGCCAGAGACTTTTCCATCATGGTTCGTACATTTCTATGGCACACAGTGGGTTAAAGCAGTCGGAGTTTAGAAAACTGGACTTTGCCGTTAGGGCTGTGGTTCAAGTGCGGACCAAGCGCTTCTCTGGGGCGTTGGAGAGAACACCAGGTGGTGCTGCTGGCTCTTGCTAGTTACCATACACAAAGCTGCAGTGTCTCTTCCTGAGGCTTTGCTAGCAACAATTTTTTGTATGTTTACATCACTAGGATTTTTTTTTCTCTAATACGCAGTTCTTTCATATGTAAAATTATTTTTTTAAAGCTGCTTGTTGTGTGGTTACTTTTCAAAGTACCTCAGTGATGGACAATGACAAGAATAGTTACTTTTTTTTCTGATCTTGGCCTGTACTGAATTTTACTGCTGTATTTTTGTGGTGTTCATTATGGCCTGATGTGGTGGTGTCACTGTATACCTTAGCCTGAAGTAGAGGCACCTGGAGGTGTTTGTTTTCTGTTAATTGTTAATGTGTACATGTATAATTACCCTGTTGTTACCGGTGTGCATGAAGGGGTATATGTGTGTGTGTACACACAAATATATATATATGTACATATATATATGAACATAAATATGTACAACAAGTATCTGACAGGACAGTCCCTGTACCTCTTCTCACTAGTGTTTTGTACATCAACAAGAATGGGGCTTACAGAGCAGGTCTTCAGTATCAATCCTGTGTGGTGAATGAGGCAGGAGATTCCAGAAGCCAAGTTGGGCACCTTTAAATAAGTGTAAGACATCAGGACACGTTTAATTTAGGATGCACTCCCCTGGCTTTATTTCTAACAAGATGCTTTGTTATATTTTATTCTTAAAAGGATTGTGAAATAAAAAGGTATTTTGTTCAGAGCTAGCTTTGCCGTTAAACAAGCCTGCTGCAGAGGTGCTTGAATGCCAACACTGCTGGGCAGATATGGTCTATATATCACAAGGAAGTTCCTGTATGATTCACTGTTGGCAGAGACAAGTAGTTGACAGAGAAAGAGGTCTTAAATTAGGGTGAGGAGAGAAATAAATAGAAGACCTATATCTTTATCATCTCTTCTGCCACCATAAGTTGCAAGTGCTGTAGTTGGAAGAGCCATAAAAACTTTCTGAACAGACTTCTTCCTTCAGTCAAAGCCCTGGTTACAAAATAACTTTGCTAAAAGTCTGATATTTAAGCAGAAAGGCAAACTCATCATTTAAGCATCAGTGAGGGAAAAAGAAAAGAACATTGGTAAAGGTAAACTTATGGGAAGACTGTATATTACAATCAGTATGTGTTTGCTGAGAACAAGTCAATGCAGTACACTTTAGATGCTTAGGCTAACAAGACAGTCCTTTACACAAGAATGCTGCTTTGGTATTTAAGTCCCCAATAGGAAAACTAATTAACAGTGTTGGTTGTACTGTGCACATTTTTATTACAAAGCACAACCCTCATATGACCCCGACATATTAATAAGATGAAGATTTGCTGCTTCTTGCACAGTGTAGTTTGCTCTGCAAGGGCAGAAGCTTTTAAAACTTCTGCTGCCCCTGTACAGAAAGATGCAGTCATTTAATTTTTATATATTTTGAGTCCTAAGGACAATATTTGCCTGGGATGTTTCGAGCCACAAATATTATTGATGTGTGAATAGGCATTATTAGGCAGAACTTTCTCTTTTTTATTCTGCAAATATATTAAAAAATACAGAAATATGATTTAATGGGTCCTTCATTCTTCAAACATAAGAAACAAAATATACCAGAATGTAAGTTAAAGAAATTATCCTCTGTGCTAACTTGCAACCCACATTCCCAGTTCCTGACCCAACTTGACTCCTTGTAGGAGCTGGTTTCAACTCTACCTGAAATGATCCCATGGTGGCCAGCTTGCTTGTAAGTGTGCTTATCTCCAGCATTCTGGCAGGATGCTCATCACAGTCATTCTGCCCAGGCCTCAGGGAAGCAACACACAGTGCTATCAGCTGCAGCACAGGCTGCCATCCCATCCTGTCAGGCAGCCTTTCCCAGTAGTGCCATAGACATTGCAGATGGTTTGAATACTAGCAAAGAAGCTAGAGTGGTTCAGTTTCTACTCGGCTGTGGGGGGAGCTGCTTTAGGTGGCTGCGCCAACCCCTGCTGCTTTGGGTTGTAGATGTGTATTGCCAAGGCTTTTAAAAGGGCAAGAGAAAATGAGATTTAGGTGATTTCTGAAAAAAAAAAAAGGTTCCACCAACCTCTTATTGCATTCAGGTCAATACACTACACAAGGAGGAATCAATGGCATTAGAGAAAATATTATTTATATGGCAGAAAACGCCCAGAAAATGTCATTGTGACACAAAGCACGCAATGGCTAGCCAACCTAGGAAACCGTAATCTCAGAATAGGTGAAAAGCAACACAGAAGGCAGACAGGAGAATGAAGGTTAAGAGGTGCAGCGAGGGCTGAGAGAGCATTAGAATTGACAAGGAAAACAGAGAGAGAAGACTTATAGGCTAACTATATCATTTGGGTGTCAACAAACAGTATGTCATCACTCAATAAGAAATACACATATTAAAATCTATTTTGATTTGTTGATTAGAAAAGAGCGAATACAAAGTCCTGCATCTGGGATAGAATGTGATCAGAAGCCTCCCGTGAGTGCCATCACCTTTCAAATACAACCAAGAGTAGCATCACAATGACGTCAGCACCCTCAGATGCATCCTAACTGGTACCATGAGTTTATGTATGTCTAATTAAGTGATTCTTAAGTGCTCCCTAATTCAGTTTCCTTCTACTGTGAGTACAGCTTCACTCCCAAATACTCTTCAAGAAGGTTCAGAGACCTGGAGGCCTGAGCGAAAACCTTAACAGTGAAAACTGAAGCAAAAAAAGGCATTGAGTACATTAGCTCTTTCCAAATTCATTTCCACTATGTACCCTGCCTCATTGAGCAATGGGCCTAAACTCCCCTTGATCTTCCTTTTACTGAAATATACTTAAAGAAAACCTTCTTGATTTTGTCCTTCACAAAAAAAATTGTGTTTGACTCCAATCAGGATCTACAAGTTCATCCATCCTGGCCTCTGTCGTGCTTGCTCAACTTTCCATACATTGCAAAAGAACATTCTTGTTTTCTGAGGAGGTTGTCCTTGAAGATTATCCAGCTGTCCTGAGCTCCTTTGCCCTTTGTGACAGTTTCCCATAGGATTACTGCTCTCAGGGTCTTGAACTCCAGTCTTATGGTCACAAGAGCCAAAGTTGTCATAGACCTTCACATCTTCAACCAGTTTTTCCTTGTTTGTGAGCAACAGATTCAACACAGCCTTTCCACTAGTCAGTTCATTGATCACCTCCCTAGGAAATGGTCTTCAGTACTCTCCAAAATTTTTCTAGGTTGTTTCCTTCCAGTCTTACTGCCTTTCCAGCAGTTGTCAATGTCGTAAAAGTCACCTGCAAGTACCAAGATGTGCGCTTGTGAGGCTTTCTTCAGAAAGCTTACTTAAAGATGGCTTCATCTGCATCCTCCTCTTGATCAGGTCTGTAGCAGACACCTACTGCAACACTACAAGTGTCTGTCGTCTGATCCTTACCCACAAGCTCTCTACTGGTTTGTCACCTGCCCCAGGGCAGCACTCCATGCATTCAAGAAACTCCTTTACACAAATTGGAAAACCTTCTTCATACCTTCCTACACATCTTTCTTGAAGGTGCTGCATGCCTCCATTGCAGAACACCAGGCATGAATGCTATCCTACCATGTCACCATAATCCCAATGAGACTGTAGCTCTGCAACTACACAGACTTCCAATTACTGTTCTCTAATCTATGTGCATTGATGTATAAGCACTGGAGATGGATCTAA